CACCAGGCTTACATAAATGCTGCTTCTTCATGAAATATTTAATATACAATATGAATAATTAAACCCTTGATTCCTTTGAAAAAATCTAACCTTATTGAATGTTATAAAGTATAACACATTATTTGGATAACAGAGGAAATAAATGTTTTTGCCTCTTGACCTTATCTAATAGCCAGCCTTAAGAAAGTTAAAGTACAATAATTGCAATAATGGCAGTTTGCCCAAGCTAAGCCTTAATGAAATTATAATAAGGAAAAAGGCTTTTTTTGATTTATTTGCTTTGAGATTTGTCCATCCTAAAAAATAATCAAATGCAGTTTTTCTCCTCAGTACAAATATCCTGCTCAGCTTTAAAAAAAAAAAAAAAAACCACTTTCTTGCCCTTGGCTTTGCTAGAGTCCCCACAAGGAATGATCCGGGTTCAGTTCAGAACCTAAGCCTCACAAATACAGTTGACAGAGGAGAAAGGGAAGACCATGGGCAGGAATCCTATTGTTTCCTGTTCTTTTCCACCAGATGCCTGAACTCTGGTTTCCTACTACTAGACTCCCAGGCCTACTTTCCTGACCACAAYAGACCTAAAAATAAACATCCGATGAGCACTGCCCAGGGCTTGGCCAGCTACCAGAATCTCTTCCACAGGCTTCCCAAGCCCTCTGGATGCTGCCAGGGACATGGCCGCAGAATTGACCAAGGATTTCAGGGCGATCYTGACTCAGGTGACTCTAGAGCTCTAGAACTGGCTGACCACACAGGTCCCACAACCTGGGAGTCTTCAGAGCAATAGCTCTTCAGTTGCAGCCTTGCAGATTTATTTGGTGCAACTTTTCTGCCTACTTCTTTCCTCAGCTGTTAACAGAATAGCAGACATAAAGTACAATACTTTCATTTAATCACTATATTTAACTAGGCATCTGAAGCYGAATAAAAATAATTACCCATCCATTTCCAGAGAAATATATTCCACGTTAACTAGTGCTCATTCTGACAATAACAATATTCAGACACCTCCACTAGAATCAAGTACACGAAGTAAAGAGCCTTATATCCAACCTACCATAGCGCTGAGGTGGGACACAGGCCTCTAACTCCCTGTGCTTCTAGGGCTCTTGTCCTAAGCCCTTGAAAACGGGTATTTAGGACCATATTTGAGCACTTAAGTCCTCCAGGCCCCAGTGACAGGGTAGGGGAGAGAGGCTGGTATCTAAGGCACAAGCAGAGAACCCAGGAAATCACCAAACAATCTGTTTGCCTAAACCAGGCTCCAATACCAGGCATTGGAATTTACATCTCATTTTAGAAGCCAACCATGAGCTTAAAAAGCAATTAAAGTATGCTCATATCTTGCTGAACAAGGAAATACAGCAAATTACATAATTATGTATTTCATTTCACAGTAGCTGTGATCCTGTCTCGAAAACATTTATCACAATGGGGTCTGTAGCATCTACATCTATACAAAAATCAATCCAAAGTGAGTTAGAAGGAATAGAGACTTGGTTTAGCTGATGAACTGACRCAGGGGATTACATTCTACAGCTGTAATTGTGACAAGTGATAAAATATTTTTTGAACACAAGTTATTATGCTTCAGTTCCAAAAGTTTTAAGGGATAATCTGTGTAATTCCCTTAATTATACTACAGAATCTCAGGGACAGAACAACTAATGCTTATGTAATTGCACCTCTTCGCCAAGAGAGAACTGCAGCACAGCCTGTTTTGAGATCATAAAACAAATGAGAAAGACAAGAACAGAAGCRAAATCTTCAGACTTGGTACTCTTCTCCGGTCCTCTAACTGCTAGTTAGGATCCACTCTTCAGGCCATCACAAAACACAAAACCAAAAATCAGTATCAACTACTAATTAAAAAGCACTCAGAACAGAGGTTAGAGAAAGGGAGGCTTTCAGAATCCATGATATAAAGGAATCAGTCTTCATCAGTTTTATATGTAAAAAGTTTGACAAATAGACTTGTGCACAAGGATATGCAAGAAGAGCTGGATAACTTTGTAATGACTGCAGCAAACATAGACTTAAAGATTCAAATAGTATCTTTGAGCTCAGCTTTAACTAGCTTTTTGTGGCTGAGCTATTTAACAATCTACTGTTCCTCTGAAGCCAAAAGTAAAGTCTACTAGACATATCATTAAAGTATTTAGTGATCAGAACAAGATAGTGATGCAATGCACTAAAGCTCCAAATGCTCAGAAATGTTATCTGGTGCCATCTCCTTTRCAGTTACTTAAGTGTCTTAATGAAATTCCATCTGGCAGTGATGCAAAAATATGGATGTATTTATGCATAACATAGCAATAGCCCATTTCATTAGAAGACGAAAGGTTTAATGGCTAAGATTAATCTTACTGTTTAATAGAGCCAWACCTTTCTCGATGAAAGCCCTGAATTCAGGCAATTGTGCCTGGGATTCATTTGACTTGAAAGGCTTAAACAATGTTGAACTTCTAATGCAACTACACAGTACGAAAGTCACAATTATGACCAAGTCACAGGTGCATTTTCAAACTGAAACACCTTTAGAAATAACTATTAAAAGTCCATCCTGTGTGCAGCCCAGCCTATAAGAAGCATTGGATGCTTCTAAGCATCCTATGCATTAGCAGCTTCTAAGGTAAAAATTTTTCTTGCTCAAAAGGCTGATTACCATACGCCCTGAAGCATGAAGACTGAGAGATCACATAATTACCATTTCTGCCATTATCACCAGCTACGCTATTGTAGTCCAGCTCTAACAGAGGTCACTTGAATATAACAGTAATGCTTCAAATAACACAGTACCACTGACACACACCCAGGCTATCAACTCTTCACCAGCTCTCACAAGGTGCCTCCCAGAACAGGACTATAAAATAAGTTCTTTGCCTTCTAGAATTCTAGTAGTAGAGAATGAGGCAGGCAAAGCCCAGCATTTGGAGAGACAGAATAACCTTTTTATTCTTTTTATTTTCTTCTTGAAATAAAGAATCTGCCAGAATGTCTCCAATTTATAGTGACAATTAGAAAGGGGAAAAAAAAAGGGAAGAATCCTCATTTTCAGGCTATTCCTCAGCAGGGATTTTGAAGAGGGACATCCCTGCTGCAGAGCTGCACTGATACAGAGCCAGCACCAGGATTAGCTCTGCTTTTCMTACTTGTACAAACTTAACTTCCTAAACACACTAAAGACAGGAAACCTTCATTTGCCGGTACTGCCAACACCCTGATTTCTCTTTTTCAGTTTAGTCCTGGACATGTACCAAAAATAAACGTTCCGTCTCTGAAAATGTAGAAAAAAGGCACTTCTGCCTTCTGCACTTCCACAGCAGCTAATGCAAATGTCTTTACACTCCCCAGTCACTAGCCTGTAAAGTATAATTCCTGCATTCCCTTATTTCATTATATGATGGTTCCTCAGTAAATAAAACAACTTTTCTCCACATGCACAAAAAAGACTTTATTGCATGTAACACACTTCAGCAATTGGAAATCAGTGTAATTGAAACTAACACCTCACCTCTAACTGCCCTACATCTGCTTTCGCTCTACAGAGCTGCTTAAGGCAATAAAACTTCAAAAGCAATAAGCAGGTAACTGTGACAAGTTCTTCCAAGGGCAGAAAAATATCAGCAGCACTTGTTGCATTTTCTGTGCTCTGAACACAATGAAGATAAGTCAGAAGTTTTTGTAGTTGATATTTAGTAATTTATGACTAACATGATTTTCTTAAGAAAACACAGCATTTGTATGAGTATATTTCTGCACAGTAATGAGATGGATATAAATAAGACCTGTTCTGGAAAATGCAGAGTTTCACTGTAACATGCAGCTTTTTCCTTCACCTGCTTCTTCTCTGTTTCGATGCTCACCAGGAAGCAAGAGACCAGTGACCAGGACTCCTGCAAAGGAGACTTCTCAGGTCTTTCAAACACTGGGGAATTAGGTGATGGAAAAACTAAGGAAGAGGAGAGCTCTAGGGCTAGGATATTGCAGGAGAAAAATATAGAAGAAACTAGCCTCCTTCTGACTCTGCCATTGTTTGACATGTGATAACACCTAAAGCCCAATTCCCAGCTCAGCCAAAACAACCAGATTCATCCCCAGGTTCATCAATTGATTAATCTATCAATTATTAAAATCCATGCCTAAAAGTARGAGCAAGGTCCCTGTTCTCCACAAGATGTGGGAGAACAAACAAACAAAACAAACAAACACAGAAGCCCCCCAAGCCCTTACTGTTAGGAGAAGCATGAACACAGACCACAATAATAAAGAGACAAGCATGAGAAAATAAATTAATGCATGTTAAGAAAGAAGCTGTGGGCTACCCATGGCCCATTTTGGTATGCAAAGAAGGGAGATTTTATTCTCTACATTACCTCTTATTCTTAAATATTCAGCGTTTTTACTGCAATCCATCACTAAGGCCATTAGCATGAACTGAAMCATAGCAGCTCTCCTGAAGCCAAGTTTCCCTAGGGGTTTTGAACCTAGCACACCACTGCCACAGGAGAGCGACAGAGGCAGGCAGTGCCAATGAAGGAAGCCTCCACTACAGCCTTGATTTATGCATTACTATCAACACAACAAGGAAAAGCATTTGKTTTTGGGATAAACATGCTCTGTTTTCTACAAAAAATGGCTATTCTTCCAAGAGACACCAAYTTTCCTAATCAAGAAAGCAGCACAATCAAGCAGGCTCAGGCCTAGAAAGGAGAATCAAGCAATCCATTGGTGAAGCAATTCCACTGTAGACTAGGGACCAAGGCAGCACCTCTCCCTGTCACCTACTACAACCAGCCAAAGCTACCAGCACCACCAGAGAAAACACAGCAGCCACCCAGACCACAACACGCTTCCCACTGCAACACCAGGCTACCCCACGGACACCCCTGTAGGCCAAGGGCAGTGGTAGGTAGCCCTGTGGACACASAGCTCACATAGCCCAGAGCTGCAGCCATCCTCATACAAGACCCAGCTCCACCACGGGATCGCTCACATACCTGGGCAGCGCTTCACCTGCAGCTGGGTTGCCTCAGCCTTACTGCTGTCCTTCTCTTGGCTCTAATTTCCTAGCAGCAGCTTGTGCAGYACCTCTCCCAGGCAGCCTCCACTTGCAGCTAGAGAATAGCAGCTCATCTCCTTGGCAAATTTAAGCTTATGGTGACCAGTGGCCCCACCCTGGTCCAGGTGAAGCCCATTAGCCCATCAGTGGCCACTCCAGGCCTTGGCAGCTGTGTGCTAAGTGCTTCTGTTGCCTTTCTGCCCAGCATTGCTTTGGAGAGTTGTCCTGAGGACACTGTTGAACCCCAATGCCCTTCAGCAGGGTCTGATATGACCAGTTCACTTTATCTACAACTAAATCACTGGTGGGGTGGAAGAGGGGAAATCTTTTCTTGAAATCTAGCTATGGGTTACTGAAAGTCTCCAAATTTCCTCGAAGAAGTTAACTCCCCGCTTTGATCCCCTCAAGCTTTGCTGCTTCTGAGGCAGCTCTCTGATTCCAAGTGATTTCGACAACAAATCCAGCAGACTTGGTGGCACTTGCAGAGACCACAGAAAGCCCGTGTGAGCCCTCACAGCGGGCAGGTCCAACCTAGACCACAGGGCCACGTGGTGCTGMTGACCGTGGATCTCCTGGACTCATTTTTCAACTCACTTCCTCTTGCCAAACCAGAGGAATTGCCAGTCCCAGCCAGGCCTGGTGGTGCAGGCAGGGACATGGTGCCAGGATGCCACACRAAGAGGCCTCGGGCCTTGCCTTATCCTGTGCCTTGGAACCAAGCCCTATCCATCATCGTCTACCAGGTGGCTTCTGGGCAAAGAGAGGCCCCAGAAGAACCAGGGAGCACAGAAAGGGAGCTAGGAAACATGGTGTCCTCTGAACTGGAAAGCAATGAAGATCCTTTATCCTATATTCATACCTCAAGGCCAAGCAACCAGTTTATAATTTAGAATWTTTTTGCAGCCCATTTCCAGGGAAATTTGGAAGCCTTGTTCACATCAAAGGAGCACAACGTAGAAGGAAAGACATCAAGATTCATTCCATGTTATATCTATAAAATATTCTACATATGGAAAATATGGAAAGCCTATTTCAGAGGCAATCTAAGAAAGCAGTGACTGTACAGTCTTTGCCACTAATCTAAAAGACATTAAAGTTTTCCTGGACTCTTAGAAGTTATTATTTGAGTTAAAAACCTTATCAGGAAACCATGCTTGGGAAAGCACATAGAAACATATTTCAATTAATGATTCAGAACAACTCTTCTGGCTTTGGAAACTGACCCCATACTGTAAATTCTATCTCTGCTGTACAGTGCTCCACTGCTAGCATATGAATAATAGATATTATAAACAAGCATATCAGAATGAAAATTCAGATAACAATATTATGGAGCTTCCATTCACAAATGCAGTTCATGAGTGATTCAAATTTTATGGCTGTTACAACCAATAACTCAATTTGCATATCATCAGAGGATTCGTGCAAGCCCCAGTTCCGCATTCTTGATCTCAGGGCTTTTATGGTAAGAAATATTGCATTAGGCACAGTAATTTACATTTTTCCGATAAAATTRTAAATGCATGTGCAGGTGCTCTTTATCTACTGAGTTCATGTTATAAATTAAAAGCTTCGAAGCAAATATATTAGAACAAATATTGATTTCTAAATAGTCATCATGAGTAAGATTTTATCCTTGCTGGTGACTTATGGCAACTCTGTCCTTTAGAGCTGTATTTCATCTCCCAGYTGCTATCCTTCATGGCAAGTAAGTAAATAAATGACATTGTCTTATTTCTGACAGTTCARTTCACTCAATTCCACGTGACTATAGTAGCAGGTACAAGTCAGTGTCAAGACTCTCCAAGATCACTGCTCTGATTCTCGGACAATTGCACATCTGCAGCTATCATAAGGACAGTTTTCAGCATGTCACATCACTGAGCATTGCAGGATGTGCAATAGAAGCAGCAGATGACACAAAAGTGTGGTGCCTCTTGGAAGAAACTTGCACAACCTTCCAATCAACAGCATGCTTCCTCGCCCAATAACTTACCTTCTTTATGTCTTTTCTCTGTGTCCAACAACTTCCAAGAAGAGATAGGAATCAAACTCTTAAAACACAATTACACATAAGAGCTTTGAACGGCCCACTTGTGTTTCTGTGTTTATTCTAAAGCATTTTTGAATTTTACAAGTCCACGGTTCTTTGTTGTGGGCTTGAGGCAATGCAATGCAAGATGTTATACGCTGCATCTGTTAGAGTAAGATAACCACATACCAATAAGATGCAAGCACTCCTTGGTTTTCATGTGGTAGTTTTCCTGTGTTGGTCTTAATGCTGCAATGAAACACTGCTTTTCTTTCATGAGAAGAGAGGACAACAGCTATTTTTGCATTGCTTCCCAGGAAGTATAACAACGTTTTATTTTCAAAAGTGATTAGCAAGAACCCCAAAGTTCACCCACACCRTAGTGCCACTAATGCCAGGAGGAAATGGAGGAGTTACTGCATTTCAAATGATTGTGGAAGACATTTTCATGAAATAAAAGACAGTATTTCTTGGTGGACAGTTTAATAGAAGTTAAAAACTAGATGCCAGATTTCTTTCAGACAGAAAGATCTGCACTTCTGATAAGTAATTTACTAATTTAGGACTTGTTCATGCTGTTCTTAACTAGACATAACTCTCTTTTAAGACCTTCCYGATGATTTAATAACTCTAGCCTAGTTTTACTTCCAGAAGTATTTTTAAAATTCATTTACAGAATATAACACAAATTGGTAACAATCCAAAATTGGAAGTATTGCTGCTTATRAACAGCATAACTGATGCCTCCTCCCTTTTAAAATAAAAAAAGCAGCCATAGCAGTACTTTTGAAGAACCTCTGTTAGGAGTGGGCAAGAAATGACTGATAAAAACACGATGCAGGTAGCATCCCATGAGTTGGTGGCTAAAAACACTGACACACAAAAGGCAAAAATAGCCCTTAATACAGCAAAAAAAACAGTCAGAGTCTGGAAAAAGTGTCTTCCCTGACGAGCAAGTCTGCAGCGTGTACAAAGGCGGACATGAGAAACAAACATGAATCTGAAGTGACATCCCAGATGCACGGGTGGCTCTGTGCCTATGCAGCATGAATTCTATCTCTATTTTACCCAATTCTATCTGTCAGGTCTACCTGCTTTGTGGTATTCACCAGAACCCAAGCTGCGTTTTCACATTTCRTGTATTTATTTAAAAAAATAATTTCGGAGGGGAAAAGAAAACCAGTAAGCAATCCAATTGCAGATTTATTACAGTTTTGGCAGATAAAGGGAATGCATCTTCTTTATGAACAAAACATAGCCATAGATAAATATACTGAATAATTCTTCATCAAATGATAAACTGGAAACAGCATATGCAATATAGATTTATATATTAATATACTGGTTACATTCTTCTTAAATATATTATACAACATTCATTAGCATTATCCAAAAGTATTTCTTCGTGTCAAGAGATTCATCTTCATTTATGGTAACACAGTTTCTCTTTAAGTTAATATCCATATGGCAATTTTAGAATTTGGGGCTAGAATCAGTATTTAACACCACCAGGTTAAATCCAGAGTGATTTAAAACTAGTTTCTAGGAGAATGCTACTTCCAAGACTTAAGGTCAGATCTGCAACTGGTAAAACTGGCAGAGTGAAGGTTAGGCTGTGGGATGTCCTTCAAAACTTGATTTTAGATTAAAGCTGGATTCCCATGGGGAAAAACACAGACTCTGCTCAGGATCCCCAGTTTAAGACACACTTCCCTTTTTTTTCTGTAAACAAATGTTAACAAAATAAACTCTCTGTACCCTGTTAACCATTTCTTAACATAAAAACAAGGAATTACTTGGAGTAGTAGAGAATTCAGTATAAAATCATCCTACCCTAAGCACCATCAGTATCAAAGTGCTAGCAAATGGCACAGTGTTTTCTGTTTGCAGCCAAATTCCCTGCTTTTTATGTTTCATATTGCGAATCTCAGCTCCAGGAGAACTTTACTCAAGATTCCAACCATGACAGCTAAATCGATTAGCCAAGCTCTGTTTGCTCTCAGCAGCCTTCTCTTCCACCAAGATGCCCCAAGTGCCTCTGAAGTGGCTGCTCTACAACACGTTTGCTGTAGCTGTGTTGGGCCCTCATGCCAGTGCCACAGGTACCTAGCATGTCCTTGGCCAAGTTCTCGGCACAGTCAGGTCAGAACAGCGACCAAAAGCGAGCAAATCCCTCATCCCGTTGCATAGATCAGTTCAGCAGTGCCTCTCCCTGACCCTTCAAGGGGATGCGCTACCCTGCTCTCGTAGCTTCCTGCTCCTCTTCCCACCAGGCTCTAGCAGAGCTCTCCGTAATTAGCTTGTTTGGGACCTCTTTGGCTTACTCAGCTTGGTTCAAATGATGACTGGCTGTCACTTTGGAGTCTGAATAAGAAATAGTGCAAATTCAAGCTTAAAGAGGAAAAAAAAAAAAAAAAGACCACACTACCTTCAGTGAACATTCAGTTAAAAAGACAGGATCCATGAGATGAAACCCCCATTGAGGAGGAACTGGAGACATTTGGCAAATCTGTTAAGGATTCTTCATGATTGTCTTCAAGAAACATATTTGATTGGCTTGGTGCTAGACACTCAAAAATTATTTGCTARCGTGATTCTACTTAAAAGCATTGTGGCTAATGGCAAACTAGTTTGAACGCTAGTGACAGCACATACAGACACCTCCCTGGCACTACTGAAAAAAACCCCTTCAGTTATGGATTCCTTAGTGTCTTTTATATCCAAGTTTGACTCAAATTGTTTTTTGTTTGCTCAGAATGGTGTGAATTCATCCAGACTGGTTTTGCTGTAAGAGAAGCGGACCACGTTATTTGTGAGGGTCAAGATACCTTTATTTGGCCATGCTCAAGCAGATTAAAAGGCCAAAACAGATCTCAGTTTCATTCCTATTATGGGATGCTGGCTGCAGAACACTGCAAAACAATAATAATTGGAAGTGGCTGAGATGTTCGACTTGAAAACGTTCAGTAATGAAGTGCCAGGGCACCCTGCAAACAGAGACCCACGTGCATCTCAGTCACCTCTGCCATGGTGCAATATATAAGCTATATCCCTCCCTGAAGCAAGATGCCACCCAGTATTTCTGGGCCCAATCCATAAGGGGCTTAATTTCTCTCACCTCCTTCTCCCCCTGGAATTCAGCAGAAGGGACCCGTGTCACACGGCTCCAGCTGCACTCTGCGACGCTGGCCAAGCATTTTCACAAAAAGCAACACCTTCACCCCAAAACAGAGACAGTGTTATCTCTGCCCATGTGCTTACGTTCCTAATATCAACACAGGCCTGGCTGTGCTTCTGGACACTGTCTGCAATGACACCAATGGCAAAGTTCTGGCTTTAACTGGGAACTAATGTGTGGATATGCTCAGATAGTATTCCTCACCCAATTCCATGAATTAACTGCAGTTTTGTACAGGAGTGAAATGGGAAGAAAAAAAAAAAAAAAACACTTCCCTTTTTCTCCCTCCATCAAATTCATGCTCTATGGAAGTGGAAAGATGTTTGGAATAAACGCTTCCTTCCTCTTATGCTGTTGTCTGCACGTGTAAATACTACTGGAATTTAGTTTTCCTCTCATCATTCATTAAAAGCCTACATCTGCATTTAACAGATGGGCCTTTGCTACGTTTGGCTTTTTTATGATGTTCATGTACCAGGGTTTCTGAAAGATGTTTGCAATGAATGCTAGCCATTATGGGATGCTGCCTAAATGAGAGGCAGGCTCCAAGGCTCTTTCTGTGATCCAATTATGCCATGTGTTATATTCTTATTCTTGGCCTAGGCAGGARTGCAAGGCTCCTTAATGTCTGTATACATTCAATTAAAGCAAGTGCATCAGACATTCRCTAGGTTTGGCTTTTCCCTGCCTCACGTCTAGTACAGGCTAGCTACTAAACCTTAATAGAAAAAAAATTAAAATCAAAGACACATAGTGAAAGTCATCATGCCCGCATATATGCCTGCCGGCTAATATTGTTACTAACCTAYCTGAAAAGGTACAAAGTCATGCAGTTTACATCTCAATCCCTATAGTTTGAGTTATGTTACTGCTAAACAAGTAGAATTCAGACGGAGGGCAGAAAGGGCTGTCTGCAATCCGTGGTGATTCTGCCTGCTCTTGTGGCTTGTGTTTCAAGCATTTCTGCATTTCTTCATGCATACTGAATGCTTCCGTTTTCAGAGGGTATTGGCATGCTTTTTGGCGAAAGCAACCAAACCAAATAGGCACATGGTGAAAGAGGGCATAGGAGGAAAACAAAAAAAAGATAAAGATTAGTGGTTTCCATTCTGCATATCTCTTCTCAGAGCCTTAAATTCATGGCAATAAGCAGAGTATAAAAAAGTAGYGGACTCTTTTCCTTCTATGAGAAGTTGTTGGCAGACTGGGGCCCAGCAACATCAGCTGTGAAATGCACACATGGAAAGGCCCTTTGGATTATATATATACACAAGTGTAACCCACAATAAATAGCACTGTTATAAAGGTATTTCCGCTTGGTTGTTATTGTTTGTTATGGCTGGAGATGGCTTGCTTTTCACCCCCTCTGTCCCACCCTTTGACACATCAATGAAGAGCAGCCTTGGAGTCCGGAGCGTCAGCAGTATCCTTTTGTACTCCTTTCGGAAATTCTGGTTAAGAAGCCCATAGATCACTGCATTGAGGCAGCTGTTAAAATAGGCCATAAAATAGCTCAGGACAAAAAGCCATTCTGGAATGTGCGGCTGTACTTTTGAAGGACTAATCGAAACGGCGAGGCCAATAAAGTTTAACGGTCCCCAGCACACAGCAAAAAGGACAAAAACCACAAACATAGTTAAAAAATTCCGGACGTCGGCTGCTCTGAGCTTCTGCTTGCAGTCCTGTCTCACCCGCTGTTTGACTTGAATGACCAAAATCCAGATCCGTAAGTAGCAAAACGTCACGATGGAAAGTGGGACGATGAAGTGAACCACCACCACTGTGATGGTGTAAGACGTGCTCACTGTCTGGGCAAAGGTGCAGGAGTAAATCCGGGGGTCGTAACGCAAGGAGCCAACAAAGAAATTGGGCACGATTGCCACCACCGTCAGTATCCACGTCAGGCAGAGATAGMAGCAGGTGTTCTTCAGGTTGAAGAGCTTATCATACCGCAGGCTGTGGCAGATGTAGCAGTAGCGGTTGATTGCGATTGCAGTGATGTTGAAAATGGACCCGATGACACTTAAGCCCATCAGGAACCCACTAATCTGGCAGTGAACATTCCCCATTGTCCATCCGTTATGGAAAATGGCACTCAAGATCAGAGGATACGGATACACCGCAACTACAAGGTCTGCAACAGACAAACTGACGACAAAGATATTGCCTACAAAAAAGGAGAAGAGACCATGAGAGGTTAGTGTAGGTCTGCATAGAGAGCTTCCAACTCACAACTCCTGCTCAGGCTGCCTCTGCTCTCAGGCTTTGCTCTACCCTCCCCTGGGAGTGGGAAACCCTGGAAAAGAAGACCTTGCTGTGCTAGTGACAGCAAACGAGAATAACTAGGCATTATTAACCTTCATAATCTTCTTWAAAAATTCTTAACTGGAAGCTTATACTTAGCTCTAGTCCTGAACCAGGTTCCTAAGTTGCTATGAGTTTTATGAGTGAATCCATGTGACGCACGCAGTACCACTGTGGTGACCAAATACCCCACAGTGTTTGCTGTCCTGCAGGGAACTTCATTCCTTTAAGTACTACACAGGGCACACTAATTTCTCCAATATCATACAGCAACACTTTACAAAAGCGCTGTCCATCACGAGCTGGTTAAGTCTTTAGCACTTCATTATGGGCCATGTGCACCAGGCAGATCTTTCTTGTCCCTCTGAACAGGTACCACCTCAGCAGAATCCTGCAGCGCTTGTGCGAAGGAGCCACAATGCAGCTCTGCTTATCTTATTCCATGTGTTTCCCTAATCCTTTAGTACTGAAGTGGATGTCCAATGCTATATGAAAGGTCAATCGCTCCTGCACTGTCTGGGCCTGGGCAGGGAATATGATTAATAAGCTGCTGTCAGCTATCTCCGCAGAGTATGTGTTGCAGGCTGCCCATTTAGGCTTTAAAAAGAGGAGACTTGAGAGTCTGTGCAGATATGAAATAATTTAAGACTTTCTGGATTGGAAACAGCACATTTTATGGAGCAGGACCTGTCAATTACACTGCTTGGAGTAGAAGCATCGCAGCCTGCAATGAGCTTGGCAACCAGTGATTTTCTACAGTGGTTTCYGAAGGCTGGCGGGCTGCAGAGCTCAGAAGCGCTGCCTGCAGAAGCAAGCAGCATCACCAACCACTAAGAGGGGCAAAATGAACTCTTCGGGGYTTGGAAATTGTACCTGGATAATATACATAAATTAATCCTCCAAAAGGGATCAAAAGTCAGGCCTCCAGCCAGAAAGTATCAGCTATTTAGAGTAATGTCTTGCTCTATTTTATTAAGTAAAATAATAGGAAAATAATATATAAAAATTTAATATATAAAAATTTAATATTCCTAGAATGCACTTAGTTTGGATTCACTACAGGAGCAGATTACTGTATTAATCATTCCCCATGTCGCTGTATGTTGCTACAGCAGGGACAAAATGGTATGGCTTTATTAAGAAAGTAATTAATAATATCTTCTTTTTACTCGGAGAGCAAAACTGTTATCCTCTGCCCTGTGCTTGTAATCTACAATCTTGATTCCCCCACCAGCTAGATGGCATAGCCTGGAGGCAGGGGGTTAGTCTCCTGCAAGTAAGGTCAGAAAGATTAATCCAACATTATTTCACAGAAACAAGCCCAGCTCTCATTTGACTTGGGAAGGTGGTCAACTTTGTGTTTGTATTCCGGAGGAGGCAACACGAAGGTCAGTTCCCTGAGGCAAAAGGCTTGTTGCCTAGATTTGCTGGAGGATGAGATCAGGCTCTCGCTCCACAGAATATCACAGATAAGCAAGAATGGGAAAAATATCTAGTTTGTGGTTTTGAAGAAAGTAAACAGCAGTTTCCCACTCATGGCCTTTCATATGTCACTAGTGAATCCAGAGGAGTCCTGCCCGCAAGTAACATCAGCAGAGCTTCATCTCAATGTTAAAATTATCGCATTCTATGCACTATTTTCAGATGCATCTTTCTTTTGTTTGCAAACATGTGACTATCACTTCTCATTAGCCTTCCCAATGTTCCCCACATTTTTAACTTCCACTTGGTATAAATGTGTTTGTATTTCACAGTGCTGTGTTCTCCAGCTACTGATTTCTGCTCAGAGAAGCACAAATGGTGAAGAAAGACAAGCATCAGCTATAGCAAGTGCAACCATAATACAGCCTTGACCACTTTACCCAAGAAACTTCGCRTCTTTTTACAGGCCAGAAGGCCCTGTAGTCTGCCCCAGTGCTCCACACAAATGTTTATCCTTCCTCTGAGCTGAGGTGACACTTTGTTATTTGTGGAGTACAATAGAAAGCTTCTTAAACATTGAGTTTCTCTTGGGTTTTAGGGAAAACTAGACAGGCTCTGGTCCAGAAAGAGATAAGCTGGGATTGAAACTGATGCCAGCATCAAAGAGGAATATATATAATAAAGCTCAGTAAACAATTTAACAGGCCCTAACTGTAAAGCAAGCCTCTGATGACCACTTACCATAACCAAATACTCTCTATTTAACCTTCCAAAGCTTATGTTCACTGCAAAACAGAAACAAAATGTACTGTTTGCCCTAAGAGATAAAGTCATAAAGGCTTTATTCAGCATGCAACAAGACTCTTTATTAGCGCCGATAGCCTCCTTTTCATGTTTGTTTTTAGCTGTCATTAGCCATGAGTTTGCTTCTGTTTCACTAATCCCCCACTCTGCACACTGGAAGTACTTGCTCAGTCCTACAAGATAAGTGGCAGTTCAGAAATAAGCACTTTCAGAACAGTTTTGTTCTCACTTTCTACAATATAAAGATACCCCTAAGAATTCACAGACATGTCGATCATTACTGCCATATTTTGTGGTACTAACACTGCAGCCTGAAGGGCTCCTGATCCAACAGGCATTTCCTGCATCACCAACTCTGAAGGATCACTCCTGGGAAGAAAGTATTTTCCCATCCAAAGATCCTTAATAACGATGCTTCTCTAAGGGGCTGTGATCATTGTCCCACGCAAGCTCTTGGCCTCCAGGGCACTTGCACTGTGAACACGGTGCAGGCAACAAAACAAGGAACACAAAAAAGAGACTGTTAATTATTGTCGCTTTTGAGTGTTCTCACTAATACATATGATGTGCCAGGGTGAGAGCCCAGCATGTGCTTGCCCACTGTGACAACTGAAAGGGAGCACAAACAAAAAATCAGGGAAACTTTCCTGGAAGTCTAGACATCACAGAAAAAAAAAAAAAAAAAAAAAAAAAAAGTGTGTTATTTAGTTAATTAACCCACAGGTACTGACTAAAAATTGTATTTGTGGATTTAGAAAGTATGCTCAAGAAAAGGAACGAACAAGAGAGAGAAGAAAACATAAATATCTAGTATTATTGCATCAGGATGCAGAGTGGGATGAAGGGCAGTGCCACGCAGCTAAAGAGCCATCGCTGCTGGGCTGCCAGCCRTTCTCAAATTGCGACCACGCTGCATAAAACGATGCAGAGGGTAATGAAGCCACAGGAAAGAGGAGGTATCATCAGTCCACAGCATCCTCAGGACACAAGGCTAGAGAACACGGAGACGTCTCATTTCAGAACACAGTGAAGGTGCTTCTAGGCAAAAACTGCAGTTATTCCACTTTTTAGGAGCAAAAGGTTCTATGAGGTCTCCTAGGGCAATCAGGAAGCTGGTGAATACCCAAGATGTTCCTTCCCACATAYGCTTTGGGACACTGCCTGTTTCAAAGCACCCTGCTGGCAAACTACCTAGGGATGGCAGATTGAGGCTGTTACACTTCTCTGTACGTATCGGAGTGCACGAGCACAGAAACAACTCCAAGCCCACTATCTATAAACTGTTTTGTAAAGAGCTCTGAAATAGGAAAGACCTTGTATAAATAGAAGTCCGAGTTATTACCAGATTCCACTGAACTGACAAACCACAATCCATTCTCCCCTGCTCCCCGACAGCTGTATTGTCACCGTGTGCCATCTGCTAGTATTTGGAAATAAAATCTGTGAACTTTGGTTTAATAGACTTAATAATGGCTTTTTGCTGTGGCTGCTGGTTAAACTGCATTTTTGGTCTGAAAAACAGCTATGTGCAAGCAGCCGATTCCTACTCAACTGGCATGCAGAGCACGGAGTCGGATCTGAACTCACAGCTGATTTTAGTGATAAAAATAATATTTGACTGTTCTGGGGAGCCCTGCAGAATGAGCATAGCTGATAGCCAGGGAGCTGGCGTCTGCTCCTCCTCGTGCTTCAGTAACGCTGCGTGTTGGCTGAACCCGAGTGACAGCCCGTCACTGCGCCCAGGGAAACCCAGCGCGGAGAACGATGCTACCCAGTTGCCACACGCAGTTTGTTTGGGCCGCCGGGCCCTGCAGCGCTAGGGATGCGTCTCGCTCATTCCAAGTTGTTTGCATGATGGGTGGTTTGGGGTGGGAGACAGGCAAACCTTTGTTCTTTGTAACTCTTTTTGTATATGGAAATGATCATCCAATAAAAAAAAAAAATCAACACAGAAAAATGTGTTTTTCAGTGAAGGACACTGAGCCTTTAACTGATTTGCAGCAAAGTGTTGTCTTGTCTGGTTATTATGAACAATCTACTTGCAAATGCAGTGCCCTGTTGTCACGGAACGAGTGGTGGCAGGGACCGCCACTCGGTCCCTGTGGCCACGAGTGGTGGCATGAGTGGTGCCACAAGTGGTGGCATATCCGTCACACCTGTCTGCTGGTGAAAACTTGGGACAGATCAAACAAGCAGGGAGGAAGAGCTGCTGCCTGAATCCACAGGGGCTACCTCAGCCTTCACATTGGGAGGAGTTTTAGAGGACACACTTAAAGCTCTCCGAAGACAAGGAAAAGGTCAAGATTCCTGAGGTGTGTAAAGAAGCTCTCAGGTTGCTTCTCCTGCCCACCAGGAGTTACAACACAGGGCTGGCAACAAAAAACCTGCAGCGTGTTACCCACTCCTTCCTCTATGAGCCCCAAAAGCAAACAGCTGGAAGCACAGACAAGACACGGGAGATCTAAGGAGAGCTTAATGTACCCTGCAAGGAGCTTTGCAGAAATGCTGTCAGAAAATTGGCTTGGCACACTGCCGGAAAGCGAGGAGAGCTTTGCACGTTAATGAGAAGCTRAGCAGTGCTCAGGAGAGGCTCCTTGCTTCCCCAGGGCGCAGCACAGCGCGGCAAGGTGAGYGCTC